TTGTGGTGCAAAAAGACTTGACAGGTTTGTGGAAGATTGATTTGGAAGGAAAGGTCAATGGTGCTGTTGAGATTTGTTTCGGTTCTTTCCACCGATATTCACAGTACGTGAATTTCTCTCACCCGTTAATCAAGGAGACCTTCAATCCAAAAGCTTGTGCTTGGACCTATGGTATGAATATATTTGATCTTGATGCTTGGAAACGTGAAAAATGCACAGAACATTACCATTACTGGCAGAACAAGGTAAATTTCTTCTGCTTATGAGTATGAAGCACAGACACCGGAAACACGACACTGACACGTCGACATAGGTAATAATTTTAAAAAAAGTGAATATGTTTAACATAATCACAAGTGTCGGTGTCGGTTTTAGACACCGACACACCTTTTTTCAGAGGTGTCGGTGCTATAGAGCTTATAACTCTTTGTTATGCTTTTGCGAAAGCAATTGAAACAGTTTACCAGAACTAGAGATTCTTATGAATTGAGTTCAGTTTAGTATCAAATAGATATACAATTTACATGTATCGGAAGATACTGATAAGTGATAACCTTCGATGCTTGAATAATGCTCAATGTGTTTCTTTGCACAATTGTTAAATGGAACTGACTAATTCTTGTTTTTGTATTGATTCTGTTTTCAGAACGAAGATCAGTCGATATGGAAATCAGGGACATCAGGGACGCTTCCACCTGGTTTAATTACCTTTTACTCCACAACCAAGTCACTAGACAAATCATGGCATGTTCTTGGATTAGGATACAATCCTAGTATTAGCATGGACGAAATCAACAATGCTGCAGTAATTCATTACAACGGAAACATGAAACCTTGGCTTGATATTGCTCTGAATCAATACAAAAATCTCTGGACCAAATATGTGGACAGTGATATGGAGTTTGTCCAGATGTGCAATTTTGGATTATAGTTGAGCTTAACATGCAACCGTTTTTTAAGTCATAATCTCGCGAAGAAGCGTCCAATGTGGCTTACCATATTCTTACAGTACTGAGAAAATCTCATGTTAAATGTTGCTTGTCACATGAAAGTTCTGCATCGTCGTCAAAGTATCGTCTATGCTGGGAATGCTGTCTGAGAATTCATTGTTGATAATTTTCAGATGCTAGGCAATAAGTTTTATGAGCTGAATTTCAAAGTGTATACGATATAGTTTTGTGTTTTGAATCATTCTCTAGTCTCAAGTATATTTATCATTTATTCATTTGCTAATAGTATTGTGATGACTTCAATTATTAATGAATAATGAGAAAGCACTAGTGTTTATTTATATATACAACTTCATATTTACATTATTTGATAGTTGATAAGCTAAGTGTCATAGGGAATAGTTATATGTGGAAGCATAAATTATTTGCAGGGATTTGGTTCATCCTATTGATGGATAATGCATTTTCGACCAAGGATTTTTGTACGAAATGAGAATTTGCATTTGAGCTCGTCCTCTGGGTTGCCAAACAACATGCAGCTGTTTTTCTAGCCAAATATGGGAGATGCTTGACATTTTTTCATCATCTCAAAACCTCTAAGCTATAAAGTAATTAGAATTGACACATGCCAACCTTGCCTTCTTTCGGTATTCTATATATAAAACAAACTATATAACTTGCCTTATTACACGAGCATGTTATTAGAGGAAACACTATATAGATTTGTTTACGTTATCTTTGATAAACCTTTTGTAGAACTACCATGGTATATAAAAGGGTACATACTACTTTCCATATCTGAAAATAAATGAGAAACAGTCAAACACATGTAATTTTGAAAAATAATAGTAATCATTAAAATTTGTACAGTAAAGTATAACCAACTGCTCATTCATAAAAAAATTCTGTTCATTATAAATGTGTATTAAAAAATGTTTTGGATTGTTAAGTTTATGTTTTTGCCGTTTGTCTGAATACGGATTCGAATCTGCGTCATTCCGTGATTGAATAATTTTAAATTTTTAAATTCTTCAAATGATTTAAATATAATTCAGTTATTTTTAAATTCTTTTTATTTTTTTTTGTTTTTTATATAAAATTAAAAAGTTTTAGTCAAATTTCAAATTTGAACATTTAAAAGGACTGATTTGTTAAATTAGAAAATTATTTACGACTAATTTTTAAATTTTTGATTTTTTAGAGTCAATTTTAATTTTTTTAAATATGAAGATCAACTTGCAAAATTTAGAAAATGGATAATCAATTTGATATTCACAATGTATATAATGAAAGAAATTATAAATTGAGGATAAATCTTAGTATGTGTTTGTTTTCTCTTTTCACGGTGGGAAGCCTATTGCAACGTGGCTTTAATGAGAAAAAGTACATAGGTTTACTGTCATTTTTTTATCTTACTCTTTTATTTTTTTGTATTTTTTTTTGTTTAAACTCTTCTGCTTTTTCTTCTCATTTGTCAATAAGTATGGAAAAACCCATTAATGATATTTTTTTGAAACTTCCATTAAATATCGCTTTTGTTGAATTTTTTTTGAATAAACAAATATTAAAAAAAAATTTCGTAAATAACCGCGTTTTGGAAAAAATTAAGCAAATAACGATGTTTCAGATGACTCCCCAAAGGAGGAGTCATCTCACTTGGCGCCTCCACCCCTAGTTTTGCCCTAGGCGCCATCTCACTTGGCGCCTCCTCTCACTTTTAGTCAAGTGAGATGGCGCATGCACTTTAAAAGTGAGAGAGGCGCCATCTCACTTGGCTCCTAGGGCAAAACTAAGGCAAAATGCTATTTTATAAATAATTCGTCAGTTTCTCCGAAATTTCTCACACTTTCTCTTACTGTTTTTTTATTTTTTACTACCCACACTTGTGTAAGTTCTACCCAATAACAGAGTAAAAAATAAAAAAACAGTAAGAGAAAGTGTGAGAAATTTCGGAGAAACTGACGAATTATTTATAAAATAGCATTTTGCCCTAGTTTTGCCCTAGGAGCCAAGTGAGATGGCGCCTCCTCTCACTTTTAAAGTGCATGCGCCATCTCACTTGGCTAAAAGTGAGAGGAGGCGCCAAGTGAAATGGCGCCTAGGGCAAAATTAGGGGTGGAGGCGCTAAGTGAGATGGCTCCTCCTTTGGGGAATCATCTGAAACATGGTTATTTGCGTAATTTTTTCCAAAACGCGGTTATTTGCGAAATATTATTTTAATACTTGGTTATTGTAAAAAAAAATTCACTTTTATTCTTTGTTGAAACTAGTATAACACATTTTTGTTTTTGTTAGAAAAATCTATTGCCATGAACAAATATGGAGTTCAAAACGGTGGCTGTAGAGATGATCATGGAATATTAATATTTAGAGAAGAAGAAAACTTTCATAAAGTGATGGAAATTGAAATAGCAATTGTTACCTCCTTTTATTATGCTTCTGTTATCAAGAGAGAAGAAAGAGATATAAATATTTACTGTAAAATAATTATGTGAAATTAATATCACATGAAGATTAAAATAAAGTTATTGAATAGAAAAGAAATTAAATAAAGTTAAAGACTCTGACCTAATTTGGTCTCAAGGAAATTAGGAAATATAGATGAGAAAGATTTTGACATTTAAATTAGACAAATACAGATACAGATATAGATAATATTTAATATTATTATTTTGATATTATCACAGGACCGGTCGGATTGGATTCCGTTGTGTCATATTTTTATTTTTTATTTTTATAATTAAAATTATATTTAAATTTAAGTTTAATAAATTTTTTAGTTTATTTTATTAATATTTTAATAATAATTTATTTTACTTGTTTAAAAATATATAATAATTTATTTTAAATTATTTATATTTTTTAAATGACGAATATTTGAGACACCTTCATTGTCCGACGTTTTAACACTTTTTTTCATTTTGTTGCAACTAATCTTAAATTCATTTTTATTTGTTTTAATTTAAAAATCACTAAAATGATTTTTTTTAAAATATTTTTAGTTTTAATTTTCGTTTTTTATTTAAAGTATTTTTCAAATAATAATATTTTATTCTATTTTATACATTTTTAGTCAAAAAGAATCTAAAAAATTATAAAATATATATATAAGATAAGTTTTCATTTAACGTTGAGTCCAAATTAATTAATATTAAAATTTTGGATTTAATTTATTTTATTTTTAAAAAAAGTTAAAACAAATATATATTTTTTTAATTTTGCTATTATTGTTGATTTTTATTTTAATTATTTTTTATATTTATTTAATCTAATTTCTTGGATAAATAATGTCAATTGATGTTAATTCACAAGACCACACTTTTGTACGTATAAACTCTCCACTCTCACAATGTCACACACGAGGCCACTTCTCACACACATTTTTCCATCCATTCTCACTAACTAACCATGTACTTATTCTGTATAGATTTTTTACTCACAAGTTCTAAAACACACTCTTTTGAACCCTGCTTTTTCTATAAGAAAACTCACATGTTCATTTTTTTTTTTAAATCTCTAACAAACCAAATTTCATTGATTCTTATTTAAATGTTTTTTTTTATGGTTTTCTCTTTATGCATTACATCTTAGCACCTTAAGTTTTTAAGTCTTTCTTTTTACAAATATCATTCTTACAAAGAAAAATTATCATCATCATAGCTTCAATAAAATTCACCATCACAAAATCAAGAACAAGAGAAACAGAGCCAAAATTCAATGATAGCTTAATTTATTTCATTCCTATTGTTGTTTTTAGTTTCTTGTACATGTTGTAAGAAAGAAGATAAACAAGGTGGGAAAGGGAGCGCCTCCCAGGCTGTCCTTTTTGCTTTTGTTTAATTGTTAGATTTTTTTTATTATTACTTGTTATTCATTAAAAGTAGGTCAAGTGTTTATTTTGGTCCTTTAATTATAAGTTATGGTTCACTTTAGTCTCTTATATTTTTTTGGTCAAAATAGTCCTTTAAGTTTCAAAACGCAACCACGTTAGTCCTTCCGTTAGTGAAACGTTAGTGAAATTCAAAAAATAGAGTTCAGGTGGCATTTGTCATGCTTGAAGTGGCTTGTTGGAGACAAGTGGCAGAGAATAAGGACAGAAAATCTCCTAAAGCTGAAGATAGCATATGCATGTTCTGTTTGCCCAAAACGAAAGCCAAAGGAAAGAGGAAGAGGCTTGCGAAGGTGTTTCCGTAGGTGATTCCAGGTATGTTAATCTTGTTTCGTCTTCGTTTTTGAATATTTGAAATGAGATTCTGAATATTTGTTATGGGGTTTCCGAGATTTAGGTTTAATGGATGAATTTCTGAAACTCGTAATCCACCATAGTGGTGAGTTCGTTGATCAAGAGCTTAGTATCTATGAAGGAGGCCTGGTATCTGAATTGTCAGTATATGTTGATAGGTGGAGTTACTTGAGTTAGTTGGTATATTGAAAGACTTAGGTTATACGGACAATGTAGAGAAAATGTATTAAAAAGACCCACAACTTGGGATGAATGAACTAGTTGATGACAAAGGTGCCCTAGAAATTGTAGACCTATACAGAGTGCATCATGTTGTTCATGTTTACATTCAACACAGTTTGTCTCAACCTGAATATTTTGATGGTCCTGTTGAGGAGCCTGAGAACATTGTAGATGAGATGGAGGAGTTGCTTAGCAAGCTGCATGATGACATTGATGGAAAGTTAAAGGAGATTATTGTTGGGGTGGATGAAGTAAATGATGGATTGAATGATCCAAGTGTTATTGTGGAACAAAGCAATGCTGGATTGAATGATGCAAATATAGGGGTGGAAGCAACAAATATTAAAGTGGAGCTTGTTGAAGTGGAGATAAATACTGATGGTCAGGTGCACGATGAATTCAATTCTGATGACAGTGGGGATGATAGTTACCAGTATGATAGTCCATATATCCATGCCATGTCAACCATGAAGAGTAAGAATTTTAAAGTTGATGATTACATTCCAGATTATTATAGGGTATCTAAGTACAAGGCATTATATAGGTCTGTGCTTTATCATGTGAATGGATCCAATCTGTGGGCCAAAACTCCATATCCTGATGTGCATCCACCTAAGTTTAGAAAGATGTCTGGTAGACCAAAGAAAAATAGAAACCTTGAGCAAGGGGAGATTGATGGCACTGACAGAAAATTGAGAAGAACTGGTTTTATTGTAAAGTGTTCTTTGTGCAATAAAACTGGACATAACAAGAAAACCTGCAAAGTCAATGCAACTCAAGGAACTGCATCTCAAACCACTGCAGCTCAAGGCAATGCAAGTCAAGCCAATGCTACACAAGGCACTGCATCTCAAACCACTGCAAGTCAGGTTGCAACAACACAAGCATCAGTTGCACAGGATTACATGAATGTAACTCAGTCTTCACAAGGAAAGTCAGTACCATGGCAAGGCACAAAGGAGAAAGCTAGTGAAACTGGAAAACTACTAAAACTAGGTGTGAGAAGGCCCTTTGTATCCCCTAGAGCAACAACAAGACTCTCAGCAGCCAGGAATGCAGTTGGTCCTACCACCATACGATCTACTCCAACCAAGAGAAGCACATCAAAGAGGACCATCTAGTTATCATTTTAGGGTTTATGTATTTTGGAACATGTCTATGTAACATGTTATTCTGTCCACCTTTTCGAACATTTCATTCTGTCAAGCTTTTGAAAAATGTCTATGTAACATGTCAGTATTTTGGAACATACTTATGTAACATACTTATGTAACATACTTATGCAACAAATGCTAACTACCTATTTTCAGTTTAACTAATCTGTTGTGTGTGAGCAACCCCTTCATATAATTGGTTTTGAATGATAGCAAATATATGTGAAATAATCAATGAATGTTACCTACATGTGTGCACTGTAAAAAATATAGCATAACATGTTTAAAATGAGTTAAGAATGTGTTTTACATATAAAACATTGTTATGAGTCAACACAAACAACTTTGCATCGATGCATACTTAAGCAAAGAATTATAAAAATGATTATGCTTTAGTATGAGTCGACACATCCATGCCATGCATCGACTCATAACATGTTGATGCCCCTGGAATACAACCTTCAACCTTTATGCATCAATATATAACTTCATGCATCGACACATGATATGTTGATGTCCCTGGAAAACATTTTTGAACTTTTATGCATCGATACATAACATCATGCATCGACTCATAACACGTTTTGTCTTCAAAAATCAAAAGTTCAATCCAGTATTGTGTCGACGCATAAGTGTTATGCATTGACTCATGTAAAATGGTTAGTTCTATAATATATTGTAATATCTGCTTGCATCGACTCATAACAACATGTATCGACTCATTCTGTGTTACATAACTAACATGAGTCGACTCATGCTAACATGCATCGACTCATAATATAATTAACATATATAATGTGTCCAAAATTATGTTGTTACAATTAACAATATGTCAAACTGATCTGCTTTGATTAATGATATGTCAAACAAAATAATTCTTACTAAACTAATAACATATGTTAAAATTATACATAAGCTTGCACATTAATTTCCCAAATAGATAAAATTACACACAAACGGCTACATACTCCTACTTCTAATACAACTTGATAACAAATACACATAACACTACAAAACACATAATCTTCAATATTTTTTTCCACTTCAACATCTTGTTGAGTTGAATTTGAAGTTCTAACACAGCATCCCATAATTCTTCATTTCTAAACCTCAAATTTTCATACTGATTCTTAGTTTCATCTAAATCCTTTGCTATGCTTTCCAATCTATTACTCAAGACTTGGTTTATGTCTTCTGCCAATTCCTCTGCCAATTCCTCGTGAAACCAATGGAAGAAGCCACACCCTCTTTGCAAGGAGCTCTGCAAATTTCACAAATTGCTCAAACTTTGTTTACATCTTCTAATATACCCAAACCAAAATTAGGGCTTACCTTGTAATTGTGATAACCCCAAAATTTACTTCCATAATTCTTCTCAGTCGTTGCCCTACGTAGAACAACGTTGTCTTCGCAACGGCAAAGTGGTGCGATCCGCGAGCTACTGTATACACCTGACCCAACACTTTCTGATTGACAGAGCTTCGTTGGGGAAGATGAATTCTTCGTATTCATGGAGAAAGGGAAGAAGATGAAGAAAGTACAACAATTTTTGGGAAGGAGAACGTTAACAAAATTTTGTGAACGAGATTTTGAACCATTGTCAAATACGATGTCTGCATGTAAAGAAGAAGAAGAAGAAGAAAACTGTCAGCTCACTTGCCACCTCACGCAAATAAACGGACGTTGGAGGCCAATTAACGGAAGGACTAACGCGGTTGCATTTTGAAACTTAAGGGACCATTTTGGCACAAAAAAAGATAAGGGACTGAAGTGAACCATGACCTATAGTTAAGGGACCAAAATGAGTATTTTGCCTTAAAAGTAACTCATTTTCTCTGTATTATTATTACAATATGGTTATTTTTAGGGATGGTAAAATGGGTTGGGCTCGCCGGGTTGGCCCGTTTGATCCGCCATTTTTAGCAGGTTGAACTGAGATTTTCGACTCGGTACCTTAAGTTGGCCCGTCCCGCCAACCCGCTTAAAAAAGCGGGCCGAAGTGGGGCGGAGCAAATTTTCCTTGCAGACTTTTTGTTATTACTTTTACTCTTTTTATTAAGAATTAAAATAACTTTAACTATAACAACAACACTTATCTCTTAGGATTGTATTATAAACTATTATACAAAAAAATTGAATTATAATTATAACGTTCTTTTTATAACTTTCTAATGCATGCATTGATTGAAAATGATTGAAATAAAAGAACAAATATATGACATGTATAATTATTAAGTTTTCAATATATTAGCTTACATGTTTTCTTTAGAAGTAGATGTTGATTTTAAGAAAAGGAAGAATTTGGTTAGTGTATACGTGTAACAAATTTAGGATTTTAACTATTAAATAATCGGACAATATAAGAGTCTATATAATGTAAACAGTGAGAAATTTCAATGTTGATATTTTACACATTACTATTTTATGCACTGTGATGTTTTATATATTGTTATTATTATCATTGTTAGTTTTGTGTAAATTCTAAATTAGATTCTTTTAGTAGTTAGTTTTTAAGTAGGATTAGGATGATATGTATTGTTTATTTATTTTGATATTTTTTATTGTGTTTGAGTTTATTTTGTTCTTTTTTTTTGTTGTAATTGGTCTTTATTTATTAAATTTTTTGAATTGTTTGGACTTAAGACATCATGAAGTTCTATTATGCGTTGTTAAAAAAATTTCTTTATCAACCTCTTTGATAATAATTAAAAAATTCTAAATCATGTATTAAATCAAATTGTAAAATTAAAAAAATTAAAAAATTAGCGGGCCGACCAGCCAACTCGTTAGTAAATGGGGCAAGCTTGACTTTTAAACTCGGACCCCTACGTTGACCTGCCCTGCCCTGCCCCGCCTCACTTTTGGACGGGCTTAAACGGGGCGGGCCTAAATGGGACGGACCGCCCGCTTTGTCACCCCTATTTATTTCTATTTTGTGTGTATTTTTAAATTAGCATTTAGATTGAACTTTAATTCCACCTGATACTTGCATCCTTCTCTTAAATTTAAGTAATTTATTATTATTATATAAAATTAAAAAAAAAACAATAACAAAAATATTTAAAAATACAAAAACAATAAATTAAAAATACAAAAACAATAATAACGAAAATAAGTAAATATAAAATTCATATTTTTAATTTTAATTAAATAATTTAGATTATTAGGTGAAAATTAATTACGAGTACTTAGATTTAATTGGTTATGTATATTTTAATTTCTTCCGATCAAATTCAAAATAAATCCATGTACACTAATCAAATTCTTTTTTTTCAAATGAAATTAACTCTAAGTGCAAATAATTGGATTTCACATCCTCGAGTAATTGATTGATCGGCTTAACGCTTACTACTTAATTATTTAAATAAAATACATTTAAAATTCACCAAATAAATTAAATAAATTTTTTCACATAGCGCGATTTAATTCATATGAAGATCAACTCTTCTTCAATCCATCAAAATCAAATTCAAAATAGCTAACCCATCAAACTTGGTATTTTTTTCTACTAACCTAATGCAAACTCAATATCATTTTCAAAAAAAGGATTTTGAATTTACTTCCAAAATTAATTGCAAACTACGTCTACGACTACACAATTTTCAAACTCTGATAAGGTTCAAGAATAACTCGAAAGCATTCACAAGAAGATACGTAGGCACACAGTTAAAACCAAGGCGAGTCCCTTAACTAAAAAACTAAACGTTTTCTTAAATATACGAAAACAACATACTTAAATAGAAAATTCTCGATTTACCCCTTAGAATTAAAAAGGAGCCACTTGAGAACAAGAGATATGAAGGGTGTCTAACACCTTCTCTTTGATGCGTCTACAAGTGCACAGAAATATCGAAGTAATATAAAAAATTATCGAACCCACAGAGACCAATGTCAGCCTATTGTAATCTATTGTCGCTTTGTAAAGCTAAGGCTAATAAATGATTAATTAAGGAGAAACTAAGACTAAAACTAAAATAAAATAAAGATTAAGATAAATATAAGAAAAGAGAGGCCGGAATGTGTATTCTGCGTATCTCAGGACTCTATAACCCGTTGGCTTATACTGATGTTAAATATATGTTTAGTAGAAAATAACAATTTAAAGACAATATCTCACACTCTCGTGGTCTTGAATAAAGTCATGTTCCTTAACCATGGGATTTGTCTCTCGCTCACCCATTCTAATCAAGGAATACATTTTAAAAACTGACCAAGTTCTAATTGACACCTAAAGCACTCTCGCCCTCTTTAGGAATCGATGCCCCGTTCTTACTATCTGGTTCGACCCCCACGTTCTCGTAGTGCCGGCTCGAACCTTAGTTAATTTCACACTCTCGTGACAAAATCGTGTTAAATAACCTCACACTCTCGTGACAAGGCTATTTAAATTAAGTTTAAGAAACAAAGATCGAAACTGAATTTTTAAATTAAATATTAAGCTAACTTCGTTACCGAGTCCCATCGGAGACGATGATCCTCATATACCAGACAGTTTAGCTAAACATGAAATTAAGTGTAAACAAATTAAACATAACAATTGCAACTAAGAATAACATGGTAATTAAATTAAACAAACGAAATAATAGAAATAATAAATTCGATAAAGAGAAACATGTAACAGCAGAAATAAACGAAAACTGGAATTACTGCTGAAATTATCTTCACGTACAATAACTTGAAACCAATTTAAAATATGCCAGCATGGTTAAAGAATCTGGTACAAAATTAAAATAACAGAAAACAACACCTAAAACTAATGGTGTGGTAGTTCCTCGATGTGAGAAACTACCACTTTTACATGGTAAACTTTTTTGCCTAAGAACTCAGAACAATAATCTGCTCTGCATGAAAAATGGTGGAACCCTCCTGTGTATGATGAACTGCCCTTTTTATCATCTCCTTCAATTCTTGTAACTCCCTTGGAGAAGAATCAGGCACTAGTGGTAAAATGGAGAAATTATTGGGAA